TTATTTTCAAAGTTAACTAATTTCCAAAAAATATTAAAAATTATTAATTTGTAATTAATTAATTATACCAGAAGTTAAGGTGTTATATCAATTTGCAAAGCTGAAAACAGGCGTTTTTTATGAATTTTTTTAAGCAAAATTTTTTTGGCAAATAGTTAAAAAAAAGGTACATTTACCGAATTTAATGTACTTTATTAATCGGCGATTAATTTTGAAAAATTTTGGATTCCCTTAATCCCATAGCCAATCTTCAGGAGACACCCGAGAAAAGGTGTCTGGCGATGCGGAAGATTTTTCTGCTTAAAGTTATCTCAAATACCAAAACAAAAAAAAAAAAGTGTTATTACTTTAGCTGAATACAGGTAATTATCGAAGGACTAGTCAATATTTTGATTCTTGACATAATGGCGGCCGCCCAAAAAATAAATATTATTTTTTTGTGAAAACTTACACTTTAGAATGGCTTAAAAAATCGATATTAATATCTAAAATCGTATTGCTTCTATGATTACATTACAAATATAACTAAGAGGATCGTATGAAAAATTCATGTCGACCGGTTTAACCGTTTCGTTGAAGTTTTCCTCACCGACTCTGAAAACAGTGTTTCGAAAAAAACACGTTAAAAGTTTTGGGATCTGATTACACTAAATCTTTGCCAGATCAATTTTAAGTTTTCGGCGAGTATTCTTATACATATGTGCATATGTACATTAAGATCAGAAAGTTTCCGGAATTTTTTTTTTCGATATTCGCGATTTGGTTCATCATGAATTTGTTCAAACGGGACAGACGGTCAATAGGAAGTATTATTTGAGTGTTTTGAGCGTTTGCGCGAAAATATCCGTCGTAAACGGCCGGCATTGTGGGCCAACAATTCGTTGATTTTTCATGACGATAATGGGCCATCGCACCGAGCTGTAGTTGTGTGAACAATTTAAGACCAAAAACTCGTTCAACAACAACGATCAACCACCGTACTCACAGGATTTGGCGCCATGCAATTTGTTTGTTGGTTTCGACTCGATTGAGGCCGTAAAAGAAATTTGCGCCTACAAGGCATGTTTCGATTATTGGAAAAAGATTTGGCATATGCTCGCTTCAGAAGGAGCATATTTTGAAGGCGACAAAATATATATTGATGAAGTAAAAAAATTTTCGTTTTATTTACAATTTCCGGAAACTTTATTTTCTTAATGTATGTATGTAAAAATCGATTTTTTGAAATTCAAAAGTGAATATTAACCCCTAAAGGCAGTCTAGAATTCGGTAAAAAAAATTGGTAGAAGTTGGTCCCAGTAATAGTTTTGGAGGTACAGCTTTGAAAAGTTGCGCGCTCAAGGTCAGCTATATACAAGTAGTCACTTAGAACTTTAAACGCGTTTTTCTCGAAACTGGGTTTTCAAATTCGGTTATCACGATTTCTCGCGAACTACTCAACCGACTTAATGAAATTTTACATGGGTCTTTAAAATATCCTATACAAGGCCTTGAATTCAATTACTTCGAGAAACTTTCATCAAAATTTGCATGTTTTTGTAAAAACGTCTGCCAAAAATACAATTTTCACTTTACTTATTTTTTCTCCATCCAAAACCTAGTTACTGGTCTTAGTTCAAACACGTATTTTTTTCTATTTTACTTTTGATGATGCTGTAAGAAGTTCTGCTGTCAACGCGGAAGCAACTTTTTTCCGAGGGACTGCCGGAAATGACATCGTAATGACCGAGTTTTGAATATTTTCCTTTGAAAATTTCACAAAATCTTTATCAAATATGTATCTTTGGAGTAATAAAAAATTTTAATAAAATATTTCATTTTTTATATGAAAAAAAAATTATTGAACATAGTGCGTTTTTTACTCGAAGAAGCCCACTTTAACAGGCCCTTAATACATTCATACATATGAATATATGCATGTGGACGATTCTTCTTCTTAAAAAATAATTCCTGCAATAAAATTCAAATGTGCGTGCATATGCATATTCGTTTGTATGTATGTACATATGTATATGATTGTACAAATGCATAAAACTATAAATAAAAAATATTTTACAAGAAGTCGAAAGAAAATTATTACGCACTAAAAAGCACAAAAAAAGTCACACATGCAGTGAAACACACACCAACATATTTATACACATACAAACTTACACAAATTTGTACAAAATGTTTGTATGTATGCTTTTGTATGAGTTATTTTCAACGCTTGTGCATCTAATTAAATGCGGAAGACCCCGAAAAAAAAGCTGTGCTCGTCTGCAAGCATACATATCATATGTATGTATATATGTACATATGTATATATGCATACATACACACATACAATAATGTGCAGAGCACATATTTATGAAAGCAATCAAATAGACGCAACAACGCATATAGCCCCAAAAATAAAAGTAGGTCACCAGCGCACGCTCGCGTCATATTTAGCGACGCGCAACCTAGAAACGCACAAAGTACAGCGACGAAGCGCAGCACAACAGCACATAGAAATATAGACACTCTAATGTGCATACATACTTGTATATTCATACATACATACATACATAAGTTTGTTTATGCATTTGTAGCAAGCAACTAGACAGACAGTCCGCGTTAGCTAGCTAGCTAGCTAGCTTACAATGTCTATATCAGTTGATAGTACTGCGATTACAAGCTCCATCACATTGTAAGTGGGGTTGTATGCCAGCAAGCACATGCTTACATACATACATATTTACAATTTTCGTATGTATATGTGTATGTGTGTTTGTGTTCTGACGAGCATGCTTACATCGTTTGAATAGGTAGTTGAAAAATAGCTCAGATGTGCAAGCGTTTTCCGAAAGCTAGCTGACAGATAATGCAATACATAAAATAAAATTAGAGCAACAATGCATGTGAGGAAAATGGAGCAGTTTGGTTGTAGCAAATGTTATTTTTGTTTTATTAGAGACGAAAATATGCAGTCAAATTATGTATGCTGCAACATACGCATACATATTTAAATATATACACATACATACATACCAATCATATATATATAATAAGTATGTTGTGTTTGTATGTATGAAATGTAGGCATCACAGCGAAGCTTTTGTATGTTAATTTACGCACACTATTTATGCACATATGTATGTATGTATGTATACATATATGTATATATGTACTACATATTGGGCTAACGTTTGACCTTTAGGTTTATTGATAATTTACATGATTCACAAACGTAAATGCTTTAAACAATGATTAAAATATTAAAAAACTTAAGAAGTAGAAAAATCGTGTAAAAAATGCTATAAAAATAACCAAAACCAAGCCGAATGGCTGTTTTATTAGAACTCGAACTTATGGTAAGACTTTTAAAATTTACTAGATATCTTTAGTGAGCGTTTAAAGCCTTGAAATATATTTTGTATGAACTTCTGTGTTAATAACTCAAAGGAAATTTTACTTAAGGGGTTACATGGATTTCGTCGAGCAAAAAACGCCCTATTTTCAATAACTTTTTTTCTCATATAAAAAATTAAATATTTTATTCAAACTTTGTATTATGCCTAAAATACATATTTGATAAAGATCTTGTTCAGTCCCTCGGAAAAAAGTTGCTTCCGCGTTGACAGCAGAACTTCTGACAGCATCATCAAAATTAAAACAGAAAAAAATACGTTTTTGAACTAAGACCAGTACCTTGGTATTGGACTGAAAAAAATAAAAAAAGGGAAAATTGTATTTTTGGCTGATGTTTGAAAAAAAAACTCAAATTTTGGTAAACATCTCTCTTAAATATAAATAAAATTGTAATTGAAAGAAGATTATTGTAATTGAATTCAAGACCTTGTAAAGGATATCTTGAAGACCTGTGTAAAATTTCATTAAGATCGGTTAAGTAGTTCGCAAAAAATCTTGACAACCGAATTTGAAAACACAGTTTCGAGAAAAACTCGTTTAAAGTTTTAAGTGACTATATACCTGACCTTAAGCGCGCAACTTTTGCAACAAGCTGTACCTCCAAAACTATTACTGGTATCAACTTGGGAATTTAGGATAAAATTCTAAAGATGTTATGGAATTAAATTAGAGAAAAAAAATGTTTTTGTTTTGAAACCGTGAAACTCATGTAATCCCTTAAAGGGTTAGACCAGTTTAGATATTTTCAAAAATCAAAATTTTTTTCTAGCTTTAGGTATACATAAGGCTCTTTAAAGCACTTAGTTGGCCACAAATTGGTAGCGTACTAAAACATTTCCTGTCCAAATCGCTTAGCTTTGGTAAAAATTGTAACCTTGTTTTTACAAGTCCGCCTATTTTTGCGAAAAATCGAGGTAAAGCTGTACACTCGTATTGATATGTAAAAGTATACTTAGGAAGTCGTCTTATATAATATAAATTAGTATCCCTTTTTATATCCTGAACAGGGTATATTAATCACGTAGCCACGAAGTTTGTAACACTTAGAAGGAAGCCACGGGGACCACTTAAAATGAACATATGTATATATAAATGATCAGCATGACGAGCTTAGTCGATTTAGCGATGTCCGAATACCGAAGAAATTTTTCAGATCCGATCACTACAGCTTATATGTAGCTGCCATACAAACTGAACGACCAGAATCAAGTTCTTGTAGGGAATCTTTTGTACTAATGAAGGGTATTATAGCTTTGGTGCAACCAAAGATATAAAGTCTTTTCTTGTTTTGTTTCAGATAATTCTTAGAGTCCGAAAAGACACTCTTGAAAAAGATGATTCGAAGGATATTTCGTATCAAAATTGCAGTATATTTTTTATGCACCCAAATGCATGTTTAAAAAGTCTGAAAGAAAGAAAGTAATATTCCTCCTTCCTTATCAAATTAACTCAGTTTTACTTTTGGTGCCCTGGTATAATTGTTATGGCTGCTAACTACAAATCTTGAGACCTAAGTGGTTCATATAAAATTAATCAGCGTTTTGGAGGCTGTGTTATAGTTAGCCTGCTTGAATATAGTATAATGAAATAAGTTAGACTTAGCTGACCATTCGTCTCGGTTTGGCCGGGACAGTCCGGATATCGAGTAAAACGTCCCGGACGTCCTGAGTATAGAAATTAAAAAAAAAGAATGAATTTAATAAAATTGTGTTACTCTCTCACCCATTATATGTCGCGGTTAACAGTGAATTATAATATAGAAAAAATCGATGACTAAAAAAAACCGTCCCGCGTTTTGCGGGGACAAATATGATCATCTAAAGTTAGACTGAATGCTTTCAAGTAAAAATCTGGCAGTCAACTCTGTAGAGGACTTGGTCAAAAAAGCTGAACATAATCTAATATTATCCAGAAACATTTTCGAAAGACCAAATATTTAAGAAGAAGAATGATAAACAAATGGAACGAAGAAGGTACATTTATTTATTGAGTATTTTTATTTTAATTTTTAATTTATTTTTCATTTTTTAAACATAATAGAACATAATATTTTAGTTTTATCACTCACCTGCTTAATTCAATTGCAATCGCCGTAAAGTTAAATCCTTGTCGCCTTGTCAAATATTTTGACGTTTGGTCCAAAATCCGTTAATTTTGCAACTATACAACTACACCGTGAATGTGTTAAGTCAAAAGTTGTTTTTTTAATTGATATCAATTTTTTTAAGTTTTTTTTGTTTTATTTCTTGTTGTAGCCACTACTTGACACTTTCAATTTATATTTCTCACTCTCTTTTACTTGTTAAAATGCTTCGAAATTTTTTAATTATTTTATGTTTTGTCTTTATGTTGCGCTTTTTGTTTTATCAAAAAACCGAAACGAAATTTTTATGCAAACTGACACACACAAACACACACAAATTACACACAGTGTTCGCGGAAAAGAAGCTGTTGTTGCTGTTGCTTTTGGCAGCTGCTGCTTGAATTATTATTGTTGTTGTTGTAATTTTTCGCAACTTTGCATTACTATTGCATTTGTTGTTGTTACTTATTGCATTGCTGCGTTCGCTGTGGTTGTTGTTAACGGTATTGTGATTGTTGTTGTTGTTGTTGTGTATTAGTATTGCTGCTAGTCCAAACCAATAATTTTGAATATGTTTCCAATTTGTTTACGTTTTTCTCTTAAATTTGATTTTGCGGTTTTGTTGCTGGTTTCCCCTTTAGCTACTTCTGCTCTCCGCGCGTTGGCTGCTTTCTATGTGCCGCTACGTTATGGTGGCTCTTTTTTAGAGAAGTACTTGGATTTTTTTTTTACTTTTTTGTTGTCACTACAGTGTGAGTATTAAATTTTTATATGCTTTTGCTACAGTGTCTACAATTTACATTTTATCTACACTGTAAAAAATTCACAACGTTTGACACGGACGTTTAATTTTAATTTTTTTTTCTTTTTTGATTCAATGAAATATTCAGTTTTTTGTTTAATTACGAAATTTTCATTTTAATTATAATTATACTTTTAGCTCAATTGCGCAATTTACATACATACATTAATTGTAATAAGCCGAAATATTTTTAATTTTAATTTTTTTTTTTCAACAAATGCCTTTTCCTTGGTATATATTGTATATGCTTTAATAGTTAATACGTAATAGCAATATATTTTTTGATATTTATATATTTTATTTTTATATTATATGTATGTTGTATATGCATAAAATTATTATTTTGTTTTTTAAGTATATTTTATCCATACGAAATATGTATTTGCTTACGTCACTAAAAAATTTTGTGTGTAATTTACCAAAATAGTTTTTTGTTTTGTTTTTAGTTATTTTAATTTCATTAGAATTGTATGTTTTTAATTTTAATTTTTTTCGTTTTATATCATACACTATACTTTAGCTTGATTTACTTTTTTTGTTGTGTGCCAAACACAGTTTTGCCAATTTTGAAAAAAGTATTTTATCAAATTTTCATTAATTTTTTATTTGCAAATTTATTCGCCGAAATATGTATTTGTATTGCCATTATTCAGCTTTCAATTGTTATTGTTTTACATAGATTTTCATAAAAGATTTTCAAGTGCGCTCGTATTATCGACATTTTGCTGCACTTCCATTTCTACGATTTGCCGTCAAATAAATTCTTTTCAGTTATATTTTTTATTTGGGCCAATGCTCACTCAAATACGTAGGCGCAAGCACTATTCAGACGAAAATCTGTAATGGAAAATATTTGAGGTTAGTAAATATGTTTTTTGAGCCAAAAATGTTCGAATTAAAAATATTATCTATATACTGAAAAATTGTGTATAGAATTTAGAAGTTTATAACAGAAGTCTTAAATGTAAAAAACTTTATTTAAAATAAGAAAGTCTTAACCTTAGCATGTACTTTTTTACTTTATTATATATATTTTTACTTTAAGATAAAGTGTATAATTTTTTAAGGAATATTTGTACATACAAACATATATGGTATTTTAATAACAGAACGCATAGATCTAATTACTAGCTAAATAAGAATCTGCAAGGATGTGTTTTTCAAAAACTATTTAATTAATTTTTTTAAATTTAAATCCTTATAATATTATATACAGATCTGGCTATCAAAAAAAATTTTCTCATGCTCTTAGTTTCCGTTCGTATTTACGCCCTTTCCGCGTTGTTACAACATTACGTTATGTACCGAAAAAGCCTATTAGACACAGTTTTATACCCAGGTTTTCTGGAAACACTACACATCACCTTATAAGCCTTTAAGGATATAACTGCTATACAAACTGACTAAACAAAATCTCGGTCTTGTATAGAAAACTTTTTTATTTGATAAAATATGTTCACAAAATTTTATATAGATTATTTTTCAAGGCAAAACTACAATCTCCGAAAAAATAATTCAGGTCGGATGACTATAGCATATAGCTGTCATACAAACTGACGGTACAAAACCAAGCTAAAGATCTTTTTATATGCTAAAGATTATTTTATAGCCTCATTGCAGCCGTTTTTTCTTATTTTTGAGTTATAATTTCCACATATGTTGCATGCTCTCCAAAGTTGTTTTCTTTTCAGAAGAATTCTTGCCTAAATACTTTATGGAAACCTTTTATTCATTATTTAGAAATTTCATTTTCGTTTCCATTGTATTACTTTTGTCGTTTATTCTCAGCATATTATATACCAGTGGCCACACTTTATTAATTTTTCACCAGAAGCACGAAAATCAAAGTACACCACCAACAGTAGGAACACTATCGAGTTTTTAATTATGCAAAACTGCATCCAAACCAACTACAAATGCAAAATTAGAATGGCAGTATACACAAAACGCTCTGACTTGCATAGCAGCATGCTTACAAATGCATATACGAGAGTATTTTGAATACTACAAACAAACACGCGCAACCCCTCACAGCAAACACTTGGCGAGTCGCAGTCAACGGCAACAAAAGGGTTAGTTTTTCCCATTGGACTCATTGAGCTGCCGGCACTCATTCGATAGCTGCGCTCGTGCATAATGAATGTCCTTTTATGAATACTACACTGCTCAAATGCATGTGTGCGCGGTAAGTAATTGTCTATACAAGTGTGTATGTGTGTGTGATCGTTCGTTGACTGCAACATAGCACAATTGCAACTTATTGCAGGCGCACATTCGATGCGCTTCCGAGTTGACGTCTGCATAGTGCAGGGTGGCGCTTTAACAGAGCCACGGGAAAACAGGCGCGTTGCATGCTTATACACATACATACATACATGCATATATGTGTGTGTGTATGTCTAAAACTTGCTCGAAAGGCACTTTTGCACGAGCACGTTTCGCTCACACTGTGTTGCACCGCTGTGTGCTGAGCGCAAACAAACGCACACACACACATGCATAGGCTGTATTGTGCAAATATGCTTTCATGTTTCATGCGCACGTTGCGCCGCTTGGCAAGTAGACCATTTATTTGTTATTCATTGCTGTTGTTGTTGCTGGCGCTTGAATAATGCAGATGCGCGCATTAATTTACATGAAAATTGTTTTTTTTTTTGTTGTGTTTCTTTCTTTGCATACTTGTATACCATTCTTTCATGCTTTTGCAGTTCTTCCCGTAGTTGTAGTTGTATTTGCTTTGCCGGAGGGCAAAATCTGTGCAGTTGCAACACGCGTTGTTGTTGGTCGCTTAATTTGCAGCATATACTTGCCGCGGTGCTGTTGCCGCTACTGCTGCACGTTGAGCGTTGTTGCGTTGTTGGTTTAGGTAAAAGGGTTCACCCCTTCGCGGACCGTGTGCGAGTTCGCAGCGTTTATGCACAAGCAACCCCCTTTTTTCTTCCGGTTCCTTTCTATTACGTATGTACATATGTACATATGCATGTCTGTATGTATGTATTTGGCTCTGCGCCACAGGCGTGCTTCTTCTTCCAGCTCTGCTTCGCTTTTCCTCTCATGCATCTGCACACACGCAACTACACTTGATGGCAACAACAGTTACTGCATACACATATTGCTTGGCCAGCGCAGGCGAATTTCATTTCATTTTCGTTTGTACACAACTTTGCTTTGCCTCTGTCGTTTTCCCCACTCTTTTTTGCACTGCTATACGTAGTATTTTCTTTGCTGTTGCTGCATTTTTTCCATGAGCTTCTGAATTTTGCTTTCACGGCACTTTTTGCGGAATTTTCACTCAATACCAAATTTTCCAATTGCATACTTTTGGGGTTGTGGGCGGAGTTGGGGTGGAAAATATTGAAATGGTTGGGCGTTTATTTTGCGGATTTGGAATTTGGTGCAGATATGCGTATTGATTTTTATATTGTGAAGTGGAAATAATTTCCGTGCGGAAATATTTTGGCAATTTCTTTGTAGGCATGGGGTAGTTTTAGTGATTAAAACGTATTAGCGTAAGCTATTTCATTGCATTTAGCATTATTCTGCAAATAATTAAGCTTAATCCACAGCTTGTTAATTTAATTTTATATAATTGGCGCCATAATCACCTAAGCCCTACGGATTAGTATCTGTACTGATTAAGTAACTTGACTTGTAACATGTAAACATAACTTTCGAATGTTTAGATTACGATTTTTAGTGCATACGAATAGATTGTGTAAGTCTTTTCATGTAATATAACTGTTTAGTTACTCTACATTGCCTTACTAGAAAGAATTTTTTTTCGAGACGCTATAATATGTCTTCAAAGGCAAAACTTTTAATCCTTTTTAAAATTATGTGA